TTTGATCAACATAAAATCCGAAACATCTTTAATTTAACATATACCTTATATAAAACGATCAATAAAACCTGTATATAACTCCGACGACCTCCTCCGCAAACCATATGATGAGGGTATATATCTGTCGACAACACCGACTAACACTTGAAAAATTTACCCAAAATCCCTAAAATATTTAGATGTACTTCTATATAGGGCTACCCGAAAGTAACAAAATTTTGGAAATCTATATCAATTCATTTAGAGGCTAGATTGATTAAAACAGACAGACGAACATGAGCAAAACGTCAAAAGTGGACGAATATTAAAAATTGTTCGCAATGAGTTTTAGTAATGAACCCGAAAGATCACATGCAATTCGATCTTCAAAATACAAAAAAATCAAAGGTACCGCTATATAAGGACGATCCTACAAAGTGGACTAATATTAATCATTTTTGGCATGGAAATGTTATACCCAATGAGGATTCAAAAAAATTAATTTCAGAAATATTATTGAAAAACATGTTCTCAGTCCGTCTGTCTGTTTGGTTGGCTGGTAAGCACGATAACGTCCGATTTCATGCAAACTTTGCACATCGTAATATTTTTCCAAAATTAACTCGAATTCGAATATGGGGGAATATCGGTACTACCCACACAAAATAGTCATTGTGGGATCCAGGGCATTCCTTCTAGACCCACTCCCACAAAGGGTCAACATTTTCAATTTTTATAAATCCAATATTTAGCGAATGGAATGTCCGATTTGACCCAAACTTTATTCCTTGTAATATTGTTACCAAACCTACATCATGTCTGAAGATGGCATCCATAAGTTCTCTCCTTCTGGTACCACCTCCAGACAGTGTCAATAATTTGACAATTTTTTAATTCAATATAAAACAAATGGTATGTGTGATTTGATCCCAAACCAAACCTGGAACATGTCCGAAGATGAGATTATCGGTCATTAACATATTAATAATGTATTAATCCGATATCAAGCGAATGGAATGCCCAATCTTTGCATATCATTGGCTAGATCAAATCCGAAGATTTGCTCATTTGTCCACTCCTTCTGGTACCTCCCCCACAAAGGGTCAAAATCTCCCATACGCGAACTGTTGCAAGTGTTGATTCTTTTGAGGTAATTTTCGACCAGTATTGAGCGGTAACTCAGCCATTTATTTCAAAAACACGTTCCCTCGCAATGCCCCATAAGAATTTTAGTGATGTCAAATCGCATGATCTTGGTGGCCAGCTGACGACGAGAAAATATACGGCCAGGAAATGTCTCTTGCTGCGCGGCAGGTGCAACCGTCTTGTTGAACTCACGTATTCTTAAAGTCGTATTCTTCTATAGCAGACAAAAAAGTCGGTTATAACGCTCTGAATTGACGTTCGAAGAAGTAAGCGCCCAAAACAGTGAAATGTTCTGCATGTAATTGTCTCTCTTCAATTCAGTTAAGGATGCTCCGACCCCCAAATACGACAATATTGTTAACCATAAACCTCTTAAAGCACGATATGTGGCTGTGGTAGAATCACAATTTTTGTAGTAGTTTTTGATAATTTTAATGGGTTGTAAGACAGTTAAGCGATCCATTTTCCTCAATGTCATACCAATCCAACTGAAAAGAAAAACATTGATTTGATAACCTAATTTGGCAGATGTCGAATCCAGTCCCTTTATTAATTGTTTTAGTTTGTCGGATTGAATGGGATATGTATAATTTTTTTTTTTTTTTTTAAATCGAAATTTTGACATTGACATTTTACTACCCACCCACTTGGAACTACAGGAAAGCGGAACGGCATGAGATCGCAAAGCCTGACAAAAAATTCATATATGTATAAATATTTAAAATATATAAATATTTAAAAAGTCGGTATCTTTATATAGAGAATAATACCAAAACCAGTGAGCGGAGCAGTATAGTCGGACGGGGCCGACCATACGGTACACTACACAACTACCACGTAACTCTGACATTCTGCGGAGTTTTATTCCGAGCCTGGGCAATATTTCGTGATAGTTGCACTCTCTTGCCCGATTAGAGGTCAACAGCATCTCTTCCTTACGCTGACATATTTTCCGAATATTTCCAATATTTAGTACAGCCCTTCTAAATACTTATCCAGGTTCCCTTCACAGTGGGTTGTGTTGTCATGTTCGGCTTTTGGCAATTGATCGACTCGAAAAACACACAAAAAATTAAGTTTTCGGTCCACTTCATCCCATAATTATTATTTGATCATCGCCGAAAATTATAGGCGTTGACCTTGACCATAACTGGAACCTCAGCGCTATATTTGCGCCCTCCAGTGTGGTAATGGGTTACTAAATAATATTTGAATACGTAAGCACCTGTAAATATATACGGCAATATAATTGGAATCAATTTAAAGGCCAACCACTCCTCTTGGATATACTATCAACTCCTCGCGCCTATGTCCTTCAGGAGTAAATATATACGCTATAGAATAAAAATTTTGTCATTTTTCACACAAAAGTCAGGGTACATTTGACCCGCTAAATATTGACCGATCCTTATTAAAAGAGGCATGCTTATTCGTTGGCCCGATCCCCCTCTCCATGCAAAAATTTGCGGTGTTTGGGCCATAATTGCGGTCTCTTGAGCGACCAGAAAAACCGGCAAAAATTTAGTATTTGGTCCATTTCATCCCCTAAATATTAACCGATCTTTTCCAAAAACAATAGGGATCTTCATTGGCCAGAACCCATCCTACATGCAAAATTTCGTGAAGATTGGTCAATAACTGTGGCCTGTAGCGCGTTTACAAATTATAATGGACAGACGGACGGACGGACACACATGTCTAGATTGACTCAGCTAGTCGATATATGACGGTATCGGTATACTTAAAGGTGGGTCTAGGACCAATATTTCGCGGCGTTACAAACTCTTGGGGCTGCACAAAGCTATAATACCCTGACAACATAGTTGTGTAGGGTATTTAAAAGGGATATTACCAAATGTAATATCGAATGGAAAGATGTAAAAAAATAAATGAATTGAAATTATGAAATTAAACTAGAATCTTTAATCTTGTTAGTGGTGGTGTAAAGTTGAGATAAGTACATTAATAACTGGCCGGCCATATGATACCCTACACAACTACCTCGAAAATGTAACTCTCTGCGGTTCTATATTCTGAGCAATATTTCGCGATATTTGCACACACTTGATCGCTTATAGGTCAACAGCTCCACTTTCTAACCCTCAAATTTCTAACCCTTTCCACCATAAAGTGAAAATTTATTCACTTTCGGTTTTGACCTTTCTAAGTATTTGATCAGATCCCATTGACCGTGTAAAATATATTATGTTCTGCATATAATAGTGGCCTCAAGAGCGACTAGAAAACCAAACAAAGTTAAAGTTTTCGGTCCATTTCATCCCCTACAACGGAGAACGGAGATATAACGCTGTTCGCTTTGAAATTTTCCATGAGGATCCAGGAATGGTCAAGGACAACGCCTATAATTTTTGATGATGATCAGATAATAAGATTGGGATGAAGTGGACCGAAACATTAATTTGTTTTTTCGAGTCGATCTATAGGCCACAATTGAAAGCCGAACATCACAGCACAACCCACGGTGAAGGTATTCGGGACAAGTAATTAGAAAGACTTGTACTGAAAATTAGTAATATTTGTTGACCTCTAGTTGGTCAAGAGGGTGCAAGTATCGCGAAATATTGCTCAAGCTCACAATATGGAACCACACAAAGTTCGATTTTCGTGGAAGTTGTGGAGGATATCACATGGTCAGCCCCGTCCGACTATACTGTTCCGCTCACTTGTTACCTATAAATTTCTCGATGTACCAGCAATGCTCTCATATAGTCCAGATTTGAATAGATATTTTTTATTGGCTACTTATTGACAGATATTTTATGCCGTAAAACCCAATTTTTTCCCTTGTGGTTTGGGTAGATTCAAACATAATACTTTAAAAAATTTTACAATTAGACATCTTCAATTGGATCAGGTCATTAGTCCAGCTTACATTTGTTAAAAAGCATGTAATTAAATAATAAAGTTATTTTTGAAATCCCAATTTTTTACAATAAAAATATATATTTACTTATAAAATATTACAAACACCCACACACAAACAAATACTACAACACCTATTTTTGATATGACTTTTTTCAACTCCCACCAAAATAAAAAATCCCACAATACAATATTTTATTTAACTTCAAAATTTATTTTTAAACATTTTTTTCTACTACTTAAAAAAAAAATAAAAAAATTCTAAATTTCTTCTACTTCTTCTAAGCTTTTTCGTTGGCTTCTTTTGGCATATATAAATATTTTTTAAATATAAATATTTTATTTTTAAGCTAATGAATGCATCCCAGAATGATATTGAAAACAAATTCAAAAATGAAATGCTTGAAAATAATATTTTTGGTTTATGAATTGGAAATTGAATTGAAAATTTTCGAAATTTCGCTTTTCATACCCCCTACTCCCAAAACTTTGTAATATAATTTGACGTTTTTTTTTCCTTCCATTTCTTACACTTAGCTTTATTGCTGCTTTCAAATGAAAAAAACCAAACCAATAAAAGACAAAACTTCCAAAAATTAACCCCACAACTCCCTCCGAAAAAAAACAATCAACCACAACCAACAAAACCCCCCTAGCTCCCTTAAATATTAAAAGAAAACTACACTCCCCTCACCAACAATGAACAAAAAAATTTGTTTAAACAATTAAAAAAAAATCTTGCAAATTTTTCTTTAAATTATGGCTTTTAAAAAAAATATTACCAAAATGCTTTTTTTCTCCATATAAAGTAGAGTTAAAAAAACAACTCCCAACCCTGTAAAAAATTACAGAACTTTTTCGTTTTAATTATGGTTCCCGTTTTTTTTTCTGTTCTCTTTCGTTTTCCTTTTTCCCTCTGTGGCTGATCTCTTGCTTTCTCTCTTTTTTGTCGACGTGTTTGTCTTCTTGGGATTTCCCAAAAAATCGAATAGGTTCTCGAAGACCAAGTCTAGCATCTGTCCATAGTACAAGTTCGTCCGTTCGCAGTTATAGTATGATGCGTTTCGAAAAGGAACAGCAACAGAAGGAGATACGTCATGAGATGAAGTTGCGCTTGGCCCGTTTGCAACAGCAGCAACAACAACAGCAATTGGGCCAATATAAACCGCAAATCATAATTGGCGATACGGCCATGACAATGCAACAGCATGGTGTGGCCTTGAATCGGATAACAATGGCCACGCCCAGTCCCATGACACCGAACTCAACGGATGAACTATTGCCGGCGGTGGATGAGAATTCTGAGGTAAGTCAATTTCAGGTTTCTTTTTTTGTTTTGAGGGGTTATCTCTTAAATTCCAAAAATCTGAAAACCCCATTTTACATTACGAAATGACCAAAGTCGGACTCGGCCTTTATGTACCTTATAGGAGATATACAATTTTATAAGTTACAAATTTTCTTTTCTCTTATCTTCCTCATCCTCTTCTTCTCCCTAGTATCCCCCCACAATGGAACCACAACAACAACAACCAACACAAAAAACCGCCTGCCCCGAATCGGTGGCATCGGCAACCATAAGTGCTATAAAAAATGCTGCTATCGGCCCGCAATCAACGGGTGCCAGTCCCAAACGACAACAGACAACTGCAACAACAACTGGTAAAGCTATCAGTTCCAGCTCCGCTAACGCTGCCGCCGCCGCCGCTGCTGCTGCTACGACTTCAACAGCTGATATGGCTAATGCTGCTGCTTATATAGGACCCTGCAGTTCATCAACGGAAGCGCTTTAAACATACAACTACAACAAAATCATTATTCATACACACAGACTCACTCATACTGAGTAAATAAATGTAAATTTGCTAAGGAAAATTAAAAATAAAAAAACCAACTACCCCACCCCCTTGTCTGAAAATATCCCCCTATTTAAAAATTTAAAAAAAAAAAAGTATTACAACTCTATAAGAAAAAAAGTTTTCAAGGAAAATACAAAAAAGGCTTAAAAATTTATAACAATACCAAAATTAATTTAAAAAAAATTAGAAAATATTAAAAAAAAAACGAAAAAGTATTGAAATTCGATTCAAAACTATAAAAATTATTTTTAATGCAGTAGGATATCGATAATGGATTCTTGTTGACTTTTTTATGAATTATCGAAGTTTTTATGAAAAAAAAACGACTCAAGGTATCGTCGGAGGAATCCACATTATCGGAATTCTGCTGTAGTTCCAAACACATGGATTTATGTATATTAGGGTGGAATGTGAAAAAAATACTTTGTTAAATTGCCGTATTTTTTTCTTTCTTTAATGTCCTCATTGACCTTTTTGGGTGTATACGTGCCCTCTTCATACTCAGCACCTCCTACTAGGATCTCTATTGAACTTCCCATAACCTACTTGCACCTCTATGAGGGTTTTTAGCACCTACACGAATATCTATGGAGCTATTCGAATTCCTTTACCAAGAATCAGAGCAAAATGGTATTGCAACCACAATAACTTCCAGACCTACTTTCTGACCCATGTTCCCATGACCCATAAAATGTCTATGATGATCGATGAGATATCTAAATGAAGGGGAGGTAATTTGACATTCCGTGCTTAGAGCGTAAAAAACATCTTTGCAGAAAATTAAAATTCTAAGACGATCTAGCCATGTCCGTCCGTCTGTCTGTCCGTCCGTCCGTCTGTTGTAATCACGCTATCTTTTGAAGGAATTGAGATAGGGTGCTGAAATTTCGCATAGGTCTTTTGTCTGCAGGCAGGTCAAGTTCGAAGATGGGATATATCGGTCCACGTTTAGGCATAGCTCCCATATAACAGTTCCCCCCAATTTTCGGTATTTTGGGGTTCTTGGGCGCGTTTTTCAACCGAATACGCTGAAATTTGGTACATTAGGTTCTTATTGGGTACTAAATGTCTTCACAAAAAAATATAAATATAGGTCCACTTTTTCTGGTAGCCCCCATTTAACGGTACCTCCTAATTTTCAGTATTTTAGGGGTTTTGATCGTATTTTTCCGCTGAATTAGCTGTAATTTAGTATTTTGAGTTCTTAATAGGTACAAAATCTCTCCACAAAAATTATGAATATAGGTCAATTTTTTCGGATAGCCCCCCAATTTTCGGTATTTTGGGGTTCTTGAGCGCGTTTTTCAACCGAATTCGCTGCAATTTGGTATTTTGTAGCCGTATACGGTAACAAATCTCCCTACCAAAAATTATTTATATTCGCCCCTTTTTGGGGTAGTCCCCATATAACCCCCGTTTTTAAATTAGAATAGTTATCTAATTTGTTCCGCGTTTTGGGTTTGGTTCTAAGAGTCTGTCGTAATCATTTAACCTGCGGAGGATATCGTGATAAAGTTAGAACGTAAGGTTTGATAATGAACTATAACCCGCATTTAGGCCTAGAACCTGTGTGGGATGTATCAGAAGGAGTGGACCTATAGTCCACATCTTCGAACCTGAACTAAGTTTGGAAGAATAATAAGATAGGCACAGGTTGGATGAAATCAAAATTTTCTGGAACATGGTTTACATAATCGCGTTGTAGAAATGTCGGTATAGGTCCACTTTTTGGTATTTTCCCTACATTTTCATTTCAACTACCTTTTAGTATAAATATAGTGGAGGGTATCCAAAGTTCGGCCCGGCCGAACTTAACTCTTTTTCACTTGTTTATATTAAAATGGTTCCCTGATTTGTTCCGGATTTTGGGGTTGCCCACATATACCCGTATTTCACCATAGTATAGGGGATATTATGTACTCGAAATTGTCCGTTTATACATAGTAGGAAATTTTGAGGCGGTTTAATCGATTTATCCATAATTCCATTCATTTTATTCTTTGGGCATGCCAAAATCGACTCAGAAAGTGATTCTAGCATATTTTCAAAAGGAAACATGTGTCTATCACGTTTCTTTTTGCCTGTAACAAACATATGCACAAAGACATAATACCCTGTACGACAGTGTACTGAAGGGTAATTATATCAGCTTCGAAATTGACCTATATCGGTCCTTAATTGGGCATAACCTTTCAAATTATAAAAACGCCAAATATTCACTAATTCATACGCAATGTTGTCAATATTGGTCCCGCTTTAGGTATGCATCCTATAACATTGTTCTTTAAATTACCGTATTTTGAGGATTCTATATAAACATGTTTCGCCCTACCACGCGTTCATAATATAGATCCGATCATTAGGGTTTTTGTTTGTTAAAAATTGCTGAAATTTGTATTTGGTCTACATTACGGTTTACATCAATCGATTAGTAGAATTGTAGGTCCATTCTTTTTTTTTTTGGTATGTTCCCCATATTTTCATTTCAAGTATCTGCCAGCATACCTATGGTGGAGGGTATCCAAAATTCGGCTCGGCCAATCTTAACGCTTTCTATACCCTTCACAACACTGTGGTAAAGGGTATTATGTCTTTGTAACGTTTGTAATAGGCAAAAATAATAGAGATAGATCCATGTTTCATTTTGAGAATATGCATAGAATCACTTTCTAAGTCGATTTATGCATGTCCGTCCGTCCGTCTGTCTGTCTGTCCATATTAAATGGAAACAAAGTACAGGTCGCATTTATGATCCGAATTGGATGAAATTTGGCACACCTCATTTCTTTGGCCCAAGGACGAACCCTATTGAAATTGGGAAAAATGGGTTCAGATTTAGATATAGCGTAATGAAGAAGGTCACGAATGATGTGTGCTCCCATGATAGCTCCCATATATATCTTCGTCCGATTTAAGGTAAATGGTGCACCTATATATCTATATATCTTTCGATTTGCGTACTAAATTAAGTATAGAATGATGTGTGCAAAGTTTCGTGAAAATCGGTTCAGATTTAGATATAGCTCCCATATATAGCTTCGCCCGATTTTAGGTAAATAGTCAACTTAAGTCCTTGGAAATCTTTTGATGTCCACAAAATTTGGCACAGAGTTATGAATAAGATTGAGAATGATGTCTGCTAAGTTTCATGAAAATCGGTTCAGATTTAGATATAGCTCCCATATGTATTTTCATCCGATTTAAGGTAATTGGTGCACCAAAGACCCTATATATCTTTCGATTTGCACGAATTTTGATATAGGGTACTGAATTAAGACTAGAATGATGTTGCTAAGCTTCGTGTAAATATCCATAGCTAAGCCGATTGACACAACGTACTGATGTTATATAAATTAGTCTCTGACAAGTTTCCCTGAAATCGCTTCAGGTCGTCGTCTGTTAGGATACATATGTAAAATATACCCAATGAGGGTATCATATAGTCGGCCCAGTCCGACTTTACTACTTTCCTTACTGGTTTATATTAAAATAGTTATGATTTTTTCCGTGTTTGGGTTTAGTTCTAAGACTCTTGTAATCATTTCATCTGCGGAAGATACGAAAAACTAGAACATAAGGTTCTATAATTTACCTTATATATATTGATATATATGAACTGTAACCCGCATTTAGGCTTAGCCCCTGTGTGGGAGGTACCAGAAGGACTGGACCGATATTTCCCATGTTCGAACTTGAACTAATTTTGGAAGAAATAATAAGATGGGAAAAGTTTGGATGAAATCAAAAATTTTTGAAACAAATTTGGTCCAAAGAAACATGGGGTCTAGGACCAATATTTAGAACCATAATCTGTTCTAAATATTGGTAAGTTTGGAATAATTATTACAATGTGCAAAGTTTTCGAAAGTTATTGTGCGCTCCAGATGGCCAGACAGACAGACGGATGGAAGGGTGTTTGTAAAGGAGCAGGTGGGCCTAAAACCAATATTTCAAAGAAGCACATTTTAGCAAAGTGTATATGTCCTCGGTAATCATAAGGCAAAGGGTATAAAACATATTCTTGAACAAGTGAAAAAGTTGTTAAGTTCGCCCGGGCAAAACCTTCTCGACCATGTGGTCGAGGGTATGAAAGGAAAACCAAGGAAGGAAAACCAAGGTAGTTTCTGATTTCCACGAGTCTTCCTGATGGCCCTATGTTGTCTAGGGCCACAAAAATTTGCAGAGGGGTTGATGAACACCTAAATAAGATCCCAATAAAAAAATAAATAAAAAAGCTTAACCCATTCGAAAGCTATAACGAATATACTATGATTGTTTTAGATAGATTATCATTTAAGCATGGATTTAAATATATATGATTTTAATGTATATATAATTTTGAGTTACTACATCTAGATCAGATCCATATAGACTAATTTAAAACAAAAAAACTCACGATAGTCCAATTTTTTAATGAGTTACAGAGCTATCTTTGGATGGGTACAAATGTACCACGGTTATTGATCTACGTATACTTTTTTGGTTATTGACCGTAGGGTTAAAGCGGACGAAACTATATATTGAAGCTATATCTAAATCTGAACTGACATTCACGAAACTTAGCACACATCATTCTGGACCTAATTCAGTACTCTATGCCAAATTTCGTGCAAATCGAAAGATATATAGGGACTTTGGTACACCATTTACCTTAAAGCGGACGAAAATATATATGGGAGCTATATCTAACTTTGAACCGATTTTTCCCATTTTCAATAGGGTTCGTCCTTGGGCCAATTAAGTGACCTGTGCCAAATTTCATCCAAATCGGATCATAAATGCGACCTGTACTTTGTTAACAAAAATACATGGACGGACGGACGGACGGACATACATAAATAAAGTGATTGTATGCATATTCTCAAAAGGAACCATGGGTATATCTCGATTATTTTTGCCTGTTACAAACATATGCACAAAGACATAATGCCCTG